AAAATTGAAAAGAAAAAAAATTTTTTTTTAAACGTCAGATTTATACACAAATTGTTATTGCAAATAATCGCGCTCAATGATTCTTTCACTCGAGAACGGTATAAAAATCGCTGATTACCACGCGCATAAAGTGTTACCATCACATAGCATATTCACACGTGATAATATACACGATCCGGATAAAAAGGACACACTTAGACGGACACTCACCTTTAATCTACTAGCGTACGATCATTATGACTTCTGCACTTCATAACTGATGTTGACACTTGATTTTCCGAATAAAAAAATCAGTTACGGAAAAACGAAGTTTAGAACACGCGCAAGCACTATACGCGAACAGTGAACACTAACGTAGTCTCGCAGATTGCCGCCTGGCCGGCAGAGCGCGAGAATTTCGGAATGCTTTAAAAAATTGTAGTCCTTGAGATGGCGACACCTTCTAATAGAAATCAAAATCTCGATTGGATCGCGAATCGATATATTGCGCGAAAGGAATCATGGGATTAGTATCCTTTCTCTCACTAAAGAGCGCGCTAGAAAAATTTTAAATTCGAGCCAATCATATTGTTCGATTTCGATTCAGTTAATTTCATCATTAGTTTAAATTCGAACTTCGTGATGGAATAAAGACGTATTGATTGAGTGCTCGATTTCTTTTTGCAAATACGGAGAATATGTAAAATTATTGTGAAAATTTCGATTGAATTGTGTTAAAAATCATATTCGGAAAGTTTTAAAAATAAAATTTAACGTAATTATGTATAATTATTAACATATAATACAATGTAAGTGGTTAAGTGCGATATAATTTTTTTTTAAGTATTTATACGTTTTAAATTAGACAATAACGAATGTGATAAAGTTTAAAAGATCAAGATAAACAAAAAAAAACAAAAAATATTTCTAGAAGAAAGAAAATCTCACAACTACTATCTACTACATACATTAGAGGTATGTAATTCTTTAAATTTTCTTATATCATTGAATAGAATTTAAAAATTAAATCAAAATAATATATATTTTAGTCATTTTTTTATTATAATCTTATAACATTAACATAGTCCATTTATGTACATCAAAATTTGTATATTTATAAAATTTACAATACTTATTTATATTATGCTTGTAATACGGGTCTTTCATGTTTACCTTCTAAACTGTCATTAACGGCTGAATATCCAGTTCCGCCCTAAAAACAATTCAATATTATTATATTATTCTATTTTCGTTATACCTTATTATTATTCTTAAAAATTATACCCTTTGAAGTGGTATAATATCTGCTTCTGTTAGTTTTGTGCTATCTAATGGATTAATCCAATCCTTCTTTATAATTTTCTCTACACATTCCATTGTAATCACATCACCACTAGAAAAATCAAAACATTCATTTAATAAAAAATGAATGTAAAAAATGAACTAATAATAATTAGAAAATGAAAAAAATTGTACGTCGTTTTTATAACTGCACATGGTACACTGTTACTTAAAATATCATGTGTAATTGGACACATGTATCTTGCTTGTTTAACAATAAGAGATTTTTTATCATCTGGATCTTTTACTTCAGTAAATTTCACAGAAATTAAATCCTTTATTTTCAATGGTTTTCCACTAACAGGACAATAGATTGTTTTATCTGGTTTCTGTACCATAATTTCTTTTGCTTCTGGTGTTTTAGATGGAATCCAGAAACTTGGCAGCATTTTATCTTTACCATTGCTCATATTAGAAACTGAAGATGTAGGTTCTTTGGTTATAGTTTGACTTCTAGAAACAATATTTTTCTCTCCTTTTAAAAAATTTTGCAATTTCTGTAATTCTTCGTTAGCACTTTTTTCATTAGATTGTTCCTAAAAAGTTGTAAAAATGAATTGTAAAATATTAGAGAAAATTTTCTTTCATATTTTATTTACCTCTTCTTGTTGTTTTTGTTTCTCATACTCTTTCAATTTTCTTGCATACTCTTTCTTTTTGGTTAAAACATATTCCAATATTGCTTCTTTGTCAAATAAGTAGCCATCTTTTCTGTAATAATATAATAAATTTGAAATATAATTCGAGAATAATGAATACTAATATGACAATTAATATAAAATATACGAACGTAATGACAGGATTTCTACAAGGTTGTAACGTCAAACAACAACAATCGAAATCTTTAACGGAATCTTTTCCTACTCTTTGCGTATTTGTACCATAACCCGAGGCTGCTGCATCTTTCTTTTTTTCATGATATGTATAAACAGCTCCAGCTGTGCAATTTCTCGCGTGTCGCGTCATGTTTTTTTTATTTTATTTCAATTAAATCTAAATAAGATGTGTTAACACACATCCATTTCGTATTTGAGAGTTTGTGAAGTGAAACAATAAACTGAAATATGACTGAGAAGGGGAAAATGTTATTTGGCAATGTATACGATGATACGATGCCATCTATCTATTATTTCTTCGAATTAGTACATTGTATTATCGGATAGATGGCGATGTTAAATTTTCTCCAGCAATACCATTTTAATCTAATATTATTATTATCCTTATGCTGATTTTCATCTTCAATGTTGTACAATTATTTAATAATATGAATTTGGATATATATAATTAAACATAATACGTTTACTTTTTTATTTGTTTATTTCATAAAATATAGCTTTTATACAAAAAACAATCACAAAATTTTCTTACTGTTTTATAAACAAAATGATTTATTTGATACATCTTATTTGCATAAAAATAAATAATTTTATACACGTTTATTTACAAACAGTATAATATTACTTATGTACATTGTATTTATAATTTGAATAAAATATATACATTCGGGTGGATGCAAATGAAAAGAAATTATCTTTTTTTATCGTCACTATCAGTTTCTGATAAATTATCTTTTTTCTGTTTCTTTTGTTTTTTATGTTTTAATTTCTTTTTTTTCTTTTTATGTTTATGTTTCCTCTCTTCATTACTAGAAACTTCTGTGTCTGATTCACTGTCACTTGGTGTTGATCTTTTACGTTTCTTAGATTTTTTTTTACCTTTCTTTTCTTTGTGTTTCTTCTTAGCTTCCTGTAACTTCTTTTTTAATTCCTTTTCACGTAATTCAGTCAAAGGAGTCACATAATTTTCATCACTATCAGAACTAGTACTGCTAACATCCAAAACAATCTCTTTGTTTGGATCAACTTTAATAAAATTACGACATTGGTATGTAAGATGTCCAGCATATCCACACTTTTTGCATGCTGGACGTACATGTTCTTTGTTTTGTGGTATTAATCTAGAAAGAAATTCTGGATCCATACCTAAAAGAATAAATATAAAAATTTATTAATATTGGTTTTATAAAATTTTAGAAAACATATATATAAATATATTCTTTAAGTAATTTATTTAAGTAAAACAATTTGAAAAAGAACTATAAATAATAGTAAAAATATGTATAAAAAGAAAATATTAACTTCAATGTTTATTATTTTCAAATGCAATACTAACCTAAGTAATAAGTAACCACTAATGTACAACTATTATGCACAAGTAAAAGTTTTCAGTCTTATTTATGGTTTTTTTTAAATAACAATGTATAAAACTATGTAATATAGCGATATCACTTGTTACATAGTAAATAAATAAAATTAAATATCAGTTATAGAAATTATACATCAAGCAGCTAGTACTTGGACGCCATATTTGTACACGTCATACTTAAATACACGCCATCTATAAGTCGCTTTGTCTAATTAAATATTGGCGGGATATTCAAATACATATTTTGCATAATTTAATTTATTAATAAAATTTTAAATTATTAATATTTAATAAAATTTTTAATAAAATTTTATAAAATCTTATATTATTAAATTATTTAATAAAATAATTTTTTCTATTTTTAATAGTATTAATTTAATGTTGCTTGCTTTAATTGCAAT